AAAACCCAATACTGTTCATTAAAGCCCAATACGGTTCATTAGAGCCCAATACGATTCCTCCAAAGCCCAATACGATTCCATCAAAGCCCAATACGGTTCATCAAAGCCCAATACGGTTCATTAAAGCCCAATACGGTTCATAAAAGCCCAATACTTTCATTAAAGCCCAATACGATCCACTAAAACCCAATACTTCCATTAAAGCCCAATACGGTCCATTAAAACCCAATACGGTAAATTGTTAAATTCTTTTTTTTTAAATTATTTAATTTTCCGTCGGATCCGCCGGAAATGGTAAATTTTTTTAGAAAAAATTATTTAATTATCCGCCGGAAATCCGCTGAAAAATTGTTAATTCTTTTTTTTTTAAATTATTTAATTTTCCGCCGGAAATCCTCCGGAAATGGTAAATTTTTTTAGAAAAATTATTTAAATATCCGCCGGAAAATGGTTTATTCTTTTTTTTAAAAAAATATTTAATATTCCGCCGGAAATCCGCCGGAAATGTTAAATTTTTTAAAAAAAAATTATTTAATTTTCCGCCGGAAATCCCGCCGGAAAATTGTTTATTTATTTTTTAGAAAATTTTTTAATTTTCCGCCGAAAATCCGCCGGAAATGGTTACATTTTTTTTTAAAATATTTAATTTTCCGCCGAAAATCCGCCGGAAAATTGTTTATTTATTTTTTAGAAAAATATTTAATTTTCCGCCGGAAATGTTAAATTTTTTAAAAAAATTATTTATTTTTTCGCCGGAAATCCACCGGAAAATTGTTTATTCTTTTTTTAGAATTTTTTTTAATTTTCCGCCGGAAATCCGCCGGAAATGGTTATATATATATTTTTAAATATTTAATTATCCGCTGGAAATGGTTATATTTTTTTAAAAATATTTAATTATCCGCCGGAAATCCGCCGGAAAATTGTTAATTTTTTTTAAGGAAAAAATTAAAAAATCCGCCGGAAATCCGCCGGTAAAATGTTGTAAATTCAAGATTAAACCGAGTAATTAAGAAATCCGCCGGAAATCCGCCGGTAAAATGTTGTAAATTCAAGATTAAACTGAGTACTTAAGAAATCCGCCGGAAATTGTTGGAAGTCAATAAAATGTTGACTTTTTTAGTGTCCGCCGGAAATCCGCCGGTAATTTACGGGCGGATTTCGTCCGCCAGAAACGGCGCCGGAAATGGTCAGTTTTCTAGTAGTGCAAAATATAAAACGTCCTTTCTAAAGGTGTTGTAATAAGTTTATATGACGCTTTTGATACAAAGTGTCGCATTAGCAAAGTGTCTTAACAAGTTTTTAGAACA